AGGAAGAGAGGGGACAAAACCTGCTGGGATCTGAGAGAAGGAGCTGGGGACAGGGATGTTCTGTGGTTGATGGAGGATTTGGGACAGGGATGTTCTGAGGAGTTGGGGACACGGATGGTCTGCAGTGGATGGAGGAGTTGGGGACAGATTTGTGACAGGGATGATCTGGGGTGGAGGGAGGATTTGGGGACAGGGATGTTCTGAGGAGTTGGGGACAGGGATGTTCTGCTGTGGATGGAGGAGTTGGGGACAGAGATGGTCTGCGGGTGGTGGGGGAGGATTTGGGGACAGGGATGTTCTGAGGAGTTGGGGACAGGGATGTTCTGCTGTGGATGGAGGAGTTGGGGACGAGGATGCTCTGCAGAAGGTGTTGGGGACCACGCTGGCGATGCTCAGCCCCATGGGAAGCCCCAGCCATGGGCAGTTTCTGTGCCTGTGCCCCTCGGAGGGGCTGAGCCCCCAGCCTGGGCTGCTCTGGTGCTGTGGGTCAGGCCCCATGTCCAGCTCCTCCACGCAGTGCCCCGCGGCACAGCCCAGTCCATACCAGTGCTTTCCAGTCCAGGACTGCCCAAGCCGGCTGGGCAACACCACCCAACTGGTCCCAAACACTCCCTGGGGCCAAGAGCTGCTCCATTTACTGGCCCCAAGCTGAGCTCACCCCATTGCTGGTTTAACCCTTTACCAGCTCCGTGCCGGGAACCGGGACCAGCCCGGCACGTGCTTCACCGCCTCGGTGATTTCGGGGCTCCCCGTGCACGACTTGACCCCGGGGGACAGCACAGACACGGTGACAACTGCCACCTGCCACCTACCAGAGCCGTTCCCATGTGGCAAAGGCTGTTCCCACCCGTGACGGGGCCGTGGCTCACCGTGGCTCACCGTGGCTCACCGTGGCTCGGGGCTCCTCACCGGCACGGTGCTGGTTCCCCAGACTGCATTCCTCGGTACAGGGGAGCCCCGCTCATGCAGGAAGGGTGGGGAAGTCACTCCACCCCGGCTGGATGCCCGTTGGTGGTCACAGTCCCCTTGAGTGGTGGCTTTGAAACCCTCTGGGCTGAGCCTGCCCTAGAAGAAAGCTGTGACTACCTGGCTGAGGTGGTGACCGAGAGTGACACGGCCAACGTGTGGCTGCTGGTGACCAAGGATGGAGACGTGAGCAGCTGAGCCTGGTCCAAAGCACTGCAGATGTTTTCTGATCCAAACAGCTTTTAGTGGCCATGAGGTTGGGTGGCAGATGGCTGGTGACACCAAATGCCCATCAGCCCCTGTCCCAAAAGGGGCATCACAGCCCCACAGTGCCTGGCTCTGTCACCCCATGGGGACATGCACCAGCTGAAGAGACAACAAGAAGCTATGACATCTTCATCCTCCAGGCTGGAGGAAGCTCAGGGCTCACAGCAGAGTCCTCCACGCCGTCCCCCTGCCCTGGGCAGTCTCCTTGTTGCCAACTCTCCTTATTTTTCAGCTGCTCTGACCATTAATCAGAGCCACTCCTCCCTCTGGAGCTGCCAGTCCCCATCCAAATGGATTTTAGATGTTTGCATCATGCTCTGGTCTCTTTGCTTTGCACCTCGAAAAAAGTCCCAGTGCTGCAGGGCTTGGAGGTGACACCTCAGTGAGAAGGTGGCACTGCCAGGGATGATGTAGCTGTGGGCAGGCAGGACCAGGGCTGTGTGCATGGAGAGGAGCCCACCCTGCTCTGAGCTGCTTTGGTGGTGACACTGAGCTGTGCTGAGGGCTTGGGGACACTCCTGGCCCTTCCAAGGACATGGGCCACCTCTGACATGTCTCTCCCAGCAGATGTAGGGAGGAAGGCAAGGGGTGATCTCTGTCCCAGGAGTGGGGCAGGTCAGACAACGAGCCTTGGGGCTACTCCAACTCCAAGGGCAGCTCCCAGCCCACAAACATGAAGCGAGAGAAGGATGAAAGACACCGTCTGCTCCATAAACATCTCTGTTGATAGAAAACTCGGCCTTAGAAGATGGAAAAACCCCTAAATCACTGGGGAACCGAAGTTCTGCTTCTCGTGGGGTTGACTCTGGCCACGGGTTGGGTTTGCTCGGCTCAGAGCTCTCCGCTCCACCTGGGCACAGTATTTCTCAGGGATGCCAGTAGCTCTGTGGAGATAAAAAATCATCAGGAACCTTGTGCTACACCAGAGCTGAGCTTTAGAACCACGACCCCAGAGCAGATCCTGTTTGATGAGGATGCAAAAGTACCTCTGAGGTCACCCTGGAGGTCAGGAGATGATGGGAAGCCAGGAAGGATTTTAGGATATGTAAGGAACTAAAGCAGTTACTGAGAGCACCATCACCTGAGCTCCTGCATCTTCTGCTGCTTGAGCTGGGCGATGCGCTGGCTGCGCTGACGGGCTTCCTCCTCCAACCTCTGACCCTCCTGGAACGCGGCCGCTCGCTCCTGCACCAGCTGCTCCTCACGCTCCCGAATCTGCCGCTGGACTTCCTTAACATGGGCCAGCTGCCGACCTGCCCTCCGCTCTTCTTCCACCTTCTCCTTCTCCATCTGCTCCCGTTGGAACCTACAGGAGATGAAAAGTCCCACCTCCAGCCCCCTGCATGTGCTGATAACCCACCTGTGGGGTCTCAACCAGCATCAGAGATGATGCCAGGACCCACCACAGCAGCCCCTTGGTCCTGTTCCATAAGGCAGAGCTCGGCCATCTCCTCCTACCAGCATCCTTCTCACCTGAGGATCCTCTCAAACTCATCCCGGTCCTGCTGCACGTGCACGGCCATGCTGTGTTCCCGCTGGGCAATCTGCTCCAGGCGGCTCTTCTTCAGCATCTGCTCCACCTCAGCCTTCCTCTGTGCCATCTCCTTCTCCTTGCGCCGCCACTCGCGCTCCGCAGCCTCTTGGCTACGCTTGGCCCTCAAAGCATCCTGCTCAAGAGGGACAGAGGTGATGCTGGGAGGGTCCCTGGAGAGCTTTTCTCCTTGGGGAGGTGTGGAAGCACTTGGCTGTGAGGTTTTTTTTCCTCTCCCAGTGTCATGGCCAGCACTGCTCCAGGACATCACCTGCCTCTCAGTGCTGGTCCAAGACTTGCAACACCCCCAAGTAGACCCACCACATCTAGAGGAGCTTTGCTGGGGTGGTGATGAGGAAAGTGGTGAGTGAGCCAGCACAGGAGCACATCACCTGCCAGCAAGACACTCACCTGCTCTGCCTGGTGGTCCCGGGCCCTCTCTTGTAGTGCCCTCAAGCGTGCTATCTCCTTCTCCTTCTCCTGACGGATTTTTTCCTGCTCAGCTTCCAACTTGGCCTCACGTTCCTGTGTAGGACAGAACCTCGTGGTAACAACCTGCTGCCTGAGGAACCTTGTGCCAGTACCACACACGCTCCATCCTGTTACCATTTTCTGCCTCTGGTACTCAAGGACTCGTTCATCTGCCATCCTCTCCTGCTCCCTCTGCTCCTCCTTGAGCCTCTGGTTCTCATCGTTGATACGTTTAATCTCAGCCTGGATCTTCTTCTGTTGCTCCTGTTTCCTCTCCAAGTCCTGAAAATGGTGTTGACTTCCTCAGCACTGGGTCATCCTTCCAACATGGTGAAAAATCCAACTCCAGTCCCCATCCTGGCTCCCCTGGTGGGTCACTGGATGTACCTTCAGGTCCTGCATCTTCATCTGCTCCAGCTGCCGCAGCATCTCCTGAACCTCCTGGTACCGCTGCTCGGCTTTCAGAGCTCTGTCCTCCGCGTTCTGCTCCATCTGCTTCACAATCTCCTGTCTCCCTCTGGAAATAAGAGAGTGAAAGGTTTCCCACCAGCTCCATCCCACTCCCAGAAGCAGAAATGCTGCCATGGACATTGGGTGGTGTTGTCTGCTGCCTTGTTGCTTCCACATCCACTCACCATGACTGGGAGATGAGCTGTGGTGTGAAACCAGCAGCCCACAGGTTATCCCAGCTCCTGCACAAAGCTTGGGAAGAGGAGAGATGCCTCCATGGGCAAGAGGGACCTTATTACAAACCTGATCAGCTCCTGCTTCCTCCTGCTCTCCAGTTCCTCCTGCATCTCGTTGGCTTTTCTCCTCTCCACCTCCATCATCGTGTCCAGGCGCTTCTCTTCTTCCTCCATCTCTTTCGCGATGAGCCGCTTCTCGAGGATCTGGGCGTCGCGGATCATGTGGCACTTGGCACCGAGGATCAGCTGTGGGGACAACAGGTTTCCTTGGTCTCTGAGCCAGATTTGGCAGAGGAATCAGGGACAGACACACAGATGAGGAGGGAGAAAAGGAGAGGAGAAGGGAAAAGCCTGGAGTAGCAACAAGTAGAGCAGGGGTTAGGTCTGGAGGGGTGAGGTGAAGCTCATAGGAGCTCTCAGCAGCCTGTCTGAACAGGTAGCTCAGGTGGGTCTCAGCACCTGCAGAAGGTCCTGCAGTGCTGGATGATGTGAGGGAACACCCAGCCCTACCTCACTGAACTCCTTGATCTCATCTTCCTGCTCCATGCGCATCCTGTTTGCCCGCTGCAGCAAGTTCTGGGCCCGTTCCTGAGCCTCCTCCTCCAGCTCGTTCATCTTCCCCTTCTCCTGCTGCAGGACAGCATTTTGCTTCTCCATGTTCTTGCTCAGCGCATCCTGAGGGGACAGACAGGACCACTGAAATCTGGATGCTCTCCTGGGACAACCCAGTGAAGCTGAGCTCATCCAAGGGTGCTGTGAAGCAGCTGAGCTCATGAGGGACACGTTCCACTGCACCGTGTCCTCAGCATGGAGCTGTGGACCACGACAGGCTCCTCCAGCCACGGCACAGGGGTTGAGTAGCCCCCTCCCACACCCCGTTAAGATGTCCCACTCCCTTTGTGGGGTGGCAGAAACACAGCACAGAGACTTCACTGCAGCATCTGAGGTCACCGTGGGCTGGGGGAGTGACCAGTGTGGGATTGATGGACGTGACCAGTGTGGGATTGATGGACGTGACCAGTGTGGGATTGAGGGATGTGACCACAGTGGGATTGATGGATGTGACCACAGTGGGATTGAGGGATGTGACCAGTGTGGGATTGATGGACGTGACCAGTGTGGGATTGAGGGATGTGACCAGTGTGGGATTGAGGGATGTGACCAGTGTGGGATTGATTCACTGCAGCATCTGAGGTCACCGTGGGCTGGGGGAGTGACCAGTGTGGGATTGATGGACGTGACCAGAGTGGGATTGATGGATGTGACCAGTGTGGGATTGAGGGATGTGACCAGTGTGGGATTGATGGACGTGACCAGAGTGGGATTGAGGGATGTGACCAGTGTGGGATTGCTGGACATGACCATCATGGGATTGAGGGATGTGACCAGAGTGGGATAACTGGACATGGCCATCCTGGGACTGATGGACACATCAAAACATGGGTGAAAGAGTGAGGAAGGTGGTGACAGGGACAGCCCAGCTGCTGTGTTCTCTGACCTACAAGGTTGGCTCTACCTGGGCACATCCACCTCCACCCACAGCCCGGGAC